AGTCTTTTTTTCTTTGTCTGCATTCTTTTATTTTTATTTTTATTTTTATTTTTATTCTTTTTGTTTTTGTCTCTGTTCTTTTTCTCTTTCTTTTTCTCTTTATTTTTATCGTCATTTTTATTCTTCTTGATTTATTTTTATTTTTTTATTTTTATTTTTATTCTTTTTATTTGTTTTTTTATTTTTATATTTATTATTGTTTTTGTTGTTATTTTGGTGTTGATGCTGCTGCTGCTGCTGCTGCTGCTGCTGCTGGTTATACTGCTGCTGCTGCTACCCTTGCTGTCTTTCCTGCTGCTCCTCCTCTTGCTGCTGTTGCTGCTGCTGCTGCTGCTGCTGCTGTTGCTGCTGCTGGTGCTGCTGCTGCTGCTGCTTCTATCTTGTGTATATATAAAGAAATGTTTTATATTTGTGTATATTTTTTTTTATTTTTTTGTATTTTTTTTTATACTGTAGCTGCATTAGTTGCGTTTTAACTGGTTTTTGCTGCCACTCCCGCTGCTGCTGCTGCTGCTGCTGCTGCTGCTGCTGCTGCTGCTGCTGCTGCTGTTGTTGTATATTTCAGGCTTTTTTGTTTGATGGGTCTAGCGGGAAGCTGTTTGTAGGCCAGAAGGGTTTTTCTTCTTGTCTTGGTGGTGATGCTGCTGCTCGCTCTGTGCTGCAGCTGGGGTGTACGTACACCTCAGCAGCAGTAAGCATGCGCTGGCGCCTCTATCCCGAGACAGGCCAGATACAGCTTGCAACAGAAGAAGAAATCCTTGCTGCTGCTGAGGCTCTTAAACAAAATACTCCTCCTGCTGCTGCTGCTCCTGCTGCTGCTGCTGCTGCTGATGGTGATGGTGGTGCTGGTGAGGGGGAAGGGGAGGGAGAGAGTGCTGCTGCTGCTGCTGCAGGAGATGCTGCTGCTGTTGGTGCTGCAGCAGAAACTGCAGCAGAAGAACAAGCAGCAGCAGCAGCAGGGGATACAGAAGCAGCAGCAGCAGGAGAAGCAGCAGCAGCAGGAGAAGATGAAACAAAAGAAGACGAAGAAGCAGCAGCAGCAGCAGAAGCAGATGCAGCAGCAGCAATCCTAAGACAAGCAAGAACACCCCATATACCAGCAGCAGGAACAGCAGCAGCAGTAGCAGCAGGAGCAGCAGCAAAGGGCTTGTGTCTTCGTCTTTTTTTATATAAAACAGCAGACAGCCCCCATGCTGCTGAGCTAGCTGATTGCAACCCAAATGATAAAGGACAAACCCTAGAATTCGTACCCTAAACCCTAAACCCTAAACCCTAAACCCTAAACCCTAAACTGTAAGACAAAGGATAAACCCTAAACCCTAAACCCTTCACTCTAAGAAAAAGGATAAACCCTAAACCCTAAACCCTAAACCCTTCACTCTAAGAAAAAGGATAAACCCTAAACCCTAAACCCTACATTGTAAGACAAAGGATAAACCCTAAACCCTAAACCCTAAACCCTAAACCCTTGACAGTAAGACAAAGGATAAACCCTAGAATTCGTATCCTAAACCCTAAACCCTGAAGCAAACCAAAGCGTGTAGCAGCGCCAGGGGTTTAGGGTTTAGGGTTTAGGTCTCTCAAGGCAGCGTCGAGAGAGGCCCAAATCTGCATGCTGCTGCTGCTGCTCCTGCTGCTGCTGCTGCAG